AGTGTGAACCATGTTGCCCTTTACAGATTTAATCCCCTAAACACCCCAGATGAGGTTTGGATATACTCCTTTTCTTCAGTCACTTCGTATTTTGCTGGAATTTTATTTTTTTCAACACACACATGAATACTACAATACACAACAGTATACTGTTGTATACTCTCCCCCACTCTTTACCATCCAGCAAAAGCCAGGCTATAGAAGCTGCACAGTGCTGATGTGGTCCTTATCAGATATTAACATATATATGTATATGCAATGAGACAACAAAGGCAACAAGAGCAAAAGAAAAGAACTATTTAAGTGATGGTCTGAGGTTTTGCTTACACTAAGAGAAGGACCAGAGCTCTGATATTTAAATAACTGGTAAAAATCTGTGCTTCAGACGGGAAAGTCAGTCTGAATGTTCACTTACAGAAATGAACATCAGTGCAATAGAGGCTTTAAATATTTTAGTGTCCTTGTCCCATAGGTATTTAATAAGGGAAAAGGACTCGAGCATGTGGGTAGTGGGTCTGGCTAGTTAAAGGTGTACATTTGAAACATATTTTCCTAAAAAAATCCAAAGAGTAAGATGGCTCTGCTGCTATACATGAGCACAGCTTCTCTGACATGAGGTGCTGCAGGTCAGCCACACTGGACATCTGCATGGCCACAGACATGGAAACTTTAAAAGTGAGACTTTGGAGGGAGAAGAAAGTGAAAAGAGGTAACAGCTCAGTTGTGCTGCTGTTTCACCAGGTAGCTCGTGTGCTTTGCAGGACTGATGCAGGAAACGGTTGAGGATGCAGAGAGATAGTGTGAGTGTAGGTGTATGATGGTCCTGAGAGAAAATATAATTCTGGAGCATGAAACAGAAGGATGAATATCAAGTGAGAACATCCAGCTGCAAGTCCTTTCGCCTTCTTTTTCCAGCTTTTGGATGAACTGCAAAGCCGAGGGGGACTGTTAACTGCCTGGGCCTGTCCATTTGTCTCTCTCTCTTTACTCCTCTGTCCCCAAACCCCCCTCCCTCTCCCTCCTGCAGCTCCGGAGGGTGGAGGTGCGATTCGCTATGCCCGTTTTTTATTTCCAGCACGCTTGACAGGCTGGGCGAGGAAGGCGTTAATGTTTTCTGACAGGCCCCCTCTAATTGTTGGAGCTTTTCTTCTCTGCCTTTTCTGTGAAATTCTGACTTAGGCGAGCAGCATAACAAAATGCTCTGGCATTGAAATGTGCGTTTGCACTACACTGGGCTCGGGGAAACAGCATTATTCATGAAGATTTTCAGCTGTTTTTGTCTTTTAACTAACCTTTGAGTTTGATCAGAGGCTAGCCGGGCTCCCTTTCTCAAAAGGCGGTCTTGGCAACCCGACAATGGAGCCAAACTGTTTTCCCTGTTAAAGAGATAACTATGCCGTTGAGTTGGTACATGGGGGAAATTAATCTTCAGGCGCGTACAAATGATAGCTTTACCTCGGTCTGCAATCGCCTGCATGGGATTATTAATAGGACGGGGTAAGGAGCAGAAGAAATTCAGACAGGGGCAGGGAACTAAAAAAAAAAAAAATCCCAATCCCAAACCCATCATCCCCTTTGATTGTATAAAGCCTTCGATTGATTCTTCACCACTTGCCTTTTGCAGCAGGAATTAGCCCCGCATTGTGCGGGCTGCCACGCTAAGAGCGAACCCGCTTGGGAGCAAGAAGTTGCTGCGCGCTGGGACGAACCGGGGTGGCGGCCGGGGGGGGGGGGGACGCTTCTCCCGGCTCCTCGCCTCTTGGAAAGGGGAGCGGGGAGACACAGAATGCCCCACACACTTCAAGCCGGGCTAATCCCTGAATGCACTGAGTAACAGGCGCTGCATTATGGAGCAGCGCGCAGCGGCGAGCCAGGGCGTCCCATGTGTGTGGATGTCATCCCGCCCTGCCGCGCCCGCCTCGCCTTGGGCAGGTGCCCGCTGTCCTCGCGTGCGGGCCGGGCAGCGCGGAGCGGAGCGGGGCGGGCGCGGAGCGGGGCGGGCGCGGAGCGGAGCGGGGCAGGCGGCAGCTGTGGAGGGCGCACGCCGCCCCCGAGCCCGGCGGGGCCCCCGCCGCGCCGCCGCCGCCGGGATAAAGGCTGAGGCATGACACGCGCGGGGACAGCGCTGCCCGCTGCCTGCCCGGCCCCGGCGGCCCCCCCTTGTGCCCCTGCGAGCCCGCACACAAAAGGCAGGACCTGCGCCGAGGGAAGGGGTGGGGGGAAAGAAAAAAGGAGAAAGGAATGGAGGGGGAGGGAGGGGGGCGGATGAACAAATAAATAAACAAACTAAAAAAAAAAAGAAAAAGAGAGTTAAAAAAAGATTTTTAGAAGAGGGGTAGAGCCACGGTCTCCCCAAAGGCTGCTGCTGGCGCCTCTCTCCCAGGGGACGGTGAGAAAGAAGGGCTGGGGCACCGGGAGGCTCTCCGGGGTGCGCACATCTCTTTCCGGGGGCAGGGCCGGGGGCGCTTCCCTCTCCACTCTTACCTGCGCGGGAGGAGGGGGGAGAGGGCGCGAAAGCTCCGCGGGGCCGGCACTGCTCCCGCGTGCGGAAAAGAAGTTTGGGCAGAGGAGGGGTCTGTGGGGAGTGGGCAGCGGCGCAGCAGGCATGGGGAGTGAGGGGATACCCCACGTCGGCTGCCCTCCGGCTCCGAGGGCGCGGATAGCACCAGAGGCGGGGGCAGCGCTGCCCATCGCCCTGCCCAGTGTGACCGCCGTGGGTGCCTCGCCGTGCTACCCCATCTCTGCCCGAGGGTCTTGATTTGGGGGAGCAGTGGCGGGTGCACACACTCATAGAGAAGCATTTGTTAACGGGGCACCTTTCCAGCACTACGATAAATAAGTACATAGGTAGTACATGAAATAATAAATCCGCGGCCCAGCAACCTTCATCTGCACACACACCCCCCTCTCCGCTTCTCTTCCCCCACCCCCCCCACCAAATCCTGAGTAGTTCTAAAACTTATACTGCACCCAAAGAAGTCCCTGATTTATGGAGTTTACTAATGCTAACTGAATACTGTCTGTCAGGCAGCGCTGAAAGGCTCTCCGCGCTAATACAAGAAAAGGCTTTGTGTTGCTAAGCGATTAGAGCAGATGTAATGAGATTTACCCCAATCCTGCTTTGCCCTTTCCCTATCTTCAGTAAAATTGTGTGTGTGTGTTTTCTTTCTTTCTTTCTTTCTTTCTTTCTGGAGGGGGCTGAGGGGAAAAGGGAGGGAGGAGGTGGTGAATTTCTGAGCCTGTCTTATACATTGTAGCGAACAACAGCGTAACTTTGCCTTTAGTTTAATGAGTCTGGATATTTACTATTCAGAAGTGAGCAAAAAAGAACACCTGTCTACACAAGGAAGAGAAATTTCGCCTTTGTAACAGAATGAAACATTATCCTAATGTTATATTCATAGCTATAAATTACTCGCTACACTTTCTTTGCATACCTTATCTGTACACTTGCAAAAGTGGGTAAATAAAAAGGGAGATGCTGTAAAGGGAGAGCGGATGGCGGCATATAACGGTTATTATTTTCATAACTAAACATTAGTTCCACGAGCGGTTAAAACAAAGAGTGTTTGTGCTAAAGTAATGAGGGATTTCGTGACCCCAGCGTGTCCCGTCCCCCCCCCGTCCCGTCCTTCTCCCCCCCACCCCCCGCGATTAAATCACGTATTGATCATTTCAGGGCATGAGGGGAGGAGGCAAAGGGGCAAATGTGGGTATACTTTTAAAGCAATGCAGGAAGGACTATGCATTCATATACACATGTATCAATGACCATGTGTGCATATGCATCTGTACATATACATATATAGTGACACATACACACACACACACACACACACACAGGGAAAATTCCGGGGTCCTCCACCAAAGTTTTTCCCTCTTCTTTTTTAAAAATAGCGCATCCCTCGCAACTCGATGGCGCGTTTTTGGCAGAGCTGGGTCTAGTTTATTTTTTTTTTTACCATCCAACACCCCGCTGTTCCTCCCCTTTCTTTGTTGTTTTTTTTTTTTTTTTTTTTTGTAAGATGCATTTTGCGCTTTGCTTTCCGCTTGGCTTGGTGCACGCAAACTGAATTTGCAAGTGATGTAGGAGCCAGGCGAAAAGAAGGCGAATTCTGGTCACGTCCTTGCTAACTGACAACAAGCAGGCTAGCCAAAAAAAAAAAAAAAAAAAAAAAAAGCGGGGAATGGGGGGAAGAGTCCAATTTCTATTTGAGTCTTGGTAATTGGGTACTTTTACAGGCAGATCACGCTATTTGGGTAGAATAACAAGCTTAGAAAGACCAATGTCTCTAAGCTGCCACCCATTTCTACTACTTTATTTATTTATTTATTTTTATCTCCCTTCGCCTCTCGCTTCCCGTCTTTCCCCCGACGGTTTTATTTACCCAGCCACTATCTTTGCAGCGGCAACACAGCAGCCCGTGTTTTGGGTGGCGGCGACTGTGCTATCCCCCGGGTTTTTCAGCCCCGTTGGGTCAGACCAGTGGAGCAGGACAGGGTCACACCGCCGAAACGCGGGATGGAGCGCCCTCTTTTTTTAATACTTGGGCTTTCGGGGGAATTCTTTAATGTGCAGTGATTTCAGGAAGCACAATGCAATCATTAATCATTCCCTCGTCTTTCGAATTGGATACACATTTGCAACACAGAAGGGCAAGAAAACAATGGTGATACCGCTAGATCTTTGCATATTTATATAGAGATAGATAAAGATATATATGTTACATCCATCAGATACAAACACTTCATATGCAACTTAGCTCCGGTATAACATCAATTAACATTCTGTCCTTACATTCATGGTTGTCAATGGCAGAAAGAAAAAAAATTGCATGCGGTAGGCAGCTGATAATTTTAATTAAAAAAAAGTTTTATTACGAAACTAGTTTATATAAAACAGAGTTATACAGGACCTTTGTAAGTTTGTAATAAAACAGTAAGAAAAGGCAGTGATGTAGGGGTTTTGTTTGTTTGTGTGTTTTTGCTTTTTTTTTTGCTTTTTTTTTTTTCAAAAGGCAGCATATAAAAACAAATGGCTACCGTTTTGCGTTTGGACAATAGCTGCATAAACTTTGTTCACTTTGAACATTGTTTAATAACATTATTAATACATTAACAAAGTTTCTATAAAGTAAGACACGTTGGTGCTAAAGTACATCTGGAGGAAATCCAAGTCCTTTACAAAACCACATACAAAAATGGCAGTTGTAAGGTAACGTCGACTACAAGTCTAAACATGAAGAGGTAATAAGCATTACATATTAAAAAAAGTATCAAGATATACACATTTTAAACCATTTGTACAAAACCTCTATAAATCTCTCTCTCTCTTATGTACAAAAATAGCTTAATATATCCCCAACCGGGTTAGGATAGATACAAATAGATTTTCTTATCATAAAAAAATTCACAAAAAAAAAAAAAGATTGGAAGCATTCTATGATGGAAACGAGAGGAAAAGCTTGGAGCGAGGGGAGGGAGAGGCGCAGGGAGGTGGGGGGTAGACGGAGCTCCAGGGACTTCTTTGAGTACAGCATAGCTTAACTTCAGCATCTCCACAAACATCGGGAAACTAACTTTGTCCACAGGTGATGAACGCCAGTCTCTGAAGGGCCGCAGCGGCGGCGAGGTGCGGGGGGGCCGCCTTTCTGCTGGGGAGGAGGAGGAAGAAGAGCTCCTCCGCCGGCCGAGGAGCGCAGCGCCCTTCCCGCGGCCCGGGGCTCCCCCGTCGGACACCCTCTCCGCCGGGGCGCTGTCCGTGGCAGTGCGACGGAGTGCAAAGGCCGGTCGGGCTCCGGGGACGGCCGCCCCGACCTCCCCCGCGGCGCGCAGCGCTGTGCCCGCCCGCCGAGAGACGTGCCCGCACCGCCCTCCGACGGCGGGGGAGCTGGAAACGCAACAGGTTCTTTTTCTGGGTGGATTTCTGTCTCTCTGTGTGCGATCTGTGTTTGTGTTGGGTTTGTTTGTCTCCTTTTTGCTTTGTTTTTTTTTTTTTTCCCTTTTGTAACTGTCCTGTAACAATAAAAGAGAGAGGAGATCAGAGCCGCGCCGGGACCAGCGCAGCACCGAGCCGCCCGTAAGTACCGGGGGACCCGCGGAGCCCGCCCGAGGGGGCACCCCGGCTGCGTCCCCTCCCCCGGTGGCTGCGCCCCCGCCGCCCCGCGTCCGTCCCCTGCTTTCCCCCCGGCCCTCCGCGGGCGCGTACCCACCTGCCACCGGGGCGGCCGGAGCTCAGAACCAGCTGGTGAAGTCGAGCAGCTCCTGCTCCTCGGGGCTGAGCGGGTCGTAGGAGCCCTCGTCGGAGGAGTAGGAGGAGACGGGAGAGCCCGCCATGGAGTTCATGTCGTGGGAGTAGCTGGGCGAGATGGTGGGCGAGAGGACGCCGGCCTGGAAGGCAGCGCTGACGGCGTCATGCTCGTCGAGCAGCTGCTGCAGGGCGCGGATGTACTCGACGGCGGAGCGGAGCGTCTCCACCTTGCTCATCTTCTTGTTGGCGGCGCCGTTCGGGACGTGTTCCCGCAGCGTGGCGAAGCCCAGGTTCACCAGCTTCACGCGGTTGCGCTCCCGCTCGTTGCGCCGCGCCACGGCCGCGGGCTGCTGCTGCGGCAGGCTGTACCCGAACCCGCTGAAGTTGAGCCGCCTCTTGCAGCGCATCAGCTCCGGCGAGGCCGAGCGCTGCCGCTTGGCCGCCCGCGGCGCCGAGGGCTTGCCGCCCGGGGAGGGCTGTCCGCCCGCCGGGCTCAGCTGCGGCGGCGGCGCCCCCGGCGGCGGCCCCGGAGGGGCGGCAGCGGCGGCGGCGGCCACGGCGGCGGCGAAGAAGCACGCCGGCTGTAGGAAGGGCGGCTGCCCGGCGGCGCTGGACATCCTGGCGGGGCTGCCGCTGGCCATGGGCGCGGGGGCGTCCTCTGCGAGGCGGGGGCGCCCGAGCGGCGGCCGGTCCCGGTGCCCCCACCACCAAAAAAAAAAAAAAAAAAAATCGAAAAAACGAAAATGAAAAAAATTTGCGACGTTCACTTAAAGGAAAAAAAAAAAAAGGAGCAAGGCGACGGACGAACGGCAGGGGAAAGGGACGGCGGCGACCGAGGGGAGCGGGCGGCGGAGCCGGGCGGGCGGCGGGTACGGCGGGCGGCTCTGCCCGCCCCCCTCCCTCTCGCCCTCCGTGCGGCGGCCGCGGGGAGGCTCGTGGCGCTCGCGTGTGCGCAGGCTGCTTTGCAAAGCCCCTTTTGCAAAAAAGTGGCTGAGGATTGTGTCTCTTATAAGGGGCGGACGGGGCTCGCCCCCCCTCCTCTCCTACACACACACACACACGCACACACACACACACACATACACACACGCACGCATGCAGTCTCCCCCCGCCGCCCCCCCGCGCTCACACACACGCACACCCTGCACCTTGCGCCTTCCACGCTCCCCGGCTTTGCCGGCCGCGAGCCGCGGAGCGCCCGCCGCCTTTCCAGCGCGGGGGGG